GTATAAACATAATCGGTGCTTTAACTTTATGAACGCAGTGAAATTATGTTTTTTCGCCTACACCTGTCATTAATTTAATGGTAACATGATTGTACAGAACAACAGTCATCACAATAATTTCCACTGTTTCCAAATCTTGGTTACGAGATGAGCTTGTTAATAGGCGTGTTTTATGAGTGGAGAGTGGAATTTGTTAAAACACTAAATCTCCCATTGAGTTTCTACATGTGTAATGTTTCGATCAAAGCGAAAAATCACCTATACCGTCTCAATGACGATTTTGATGTCTAGTTATGATTATTATTATAATCATTATTATTTCTCTTTCCCCTTATACTACGGTACGAATTACCGTATAATACAATCGAAACTATGTAGAATATATATTATCTATAGCATATTCATAACATTTTACCGTCTCTTCATTTTTTTTAAACAAATTTTTAACAATAGTTTGTGACAAAGAGACACGGTTGGCACATAAGTATAAAGCATGCAATTTAGAACTGTAAGAAATAAAAAATAAAATAAAATAACAAATATGCTTACTGATGTAACAGAAATCTCCCATATACTCAGGATTACATTGACAGTACTCCTCGTCTCTACACGAACCATGAACACAGGGGTAACCTCCGCAATCTCCAAAAGCTAATGAGAAGATTACAACTATTATGTCAATCAATAGAAGAGATGTGTTAAAAAATGTAAGCAATTAATTTGCCAACTACTTTCCATGATGAAAATGAGGCTTTTTAAAATGAGGATTAAATTATTCAAGGAAGATGTACACAAGCTCGAAATACACGTATACTATAGTTAAACTATTACTATTACTACATGTATTACTATTGTTAAACTATAACAAACGTGATTTTTTCAGTATAGTTCAGTTTATTGTTCTTACCAATCTCACAGTAGACACCAATAAAACCAGTTTCACAAACGCATTCGAATGAATTCTCCAAGTTCCTGCATACTCCACCGTTCTGACAAAGGTCACTCTCACACTCATCGATATCTACAAAATAAAGCAGAGAAATGAAAGGAAATCATTGATGTGTTCCTTTAGGAGTAGGCTGAGTCCTGTGAAAAGGTGAACAACTAGTCTGTAAGCTTTTTCATTGTTTTACGGTAATCAGATTAGTGTGAAAGAATTTCCCACAAATGTTGTAAAAAATAAGTTTTAAGTTTTAAAAAAATGCCTGAAGTATTTGCACCAAACCTTCATGCCATATAGCGTGAGCATATTTATACTTACGGGGCGTTTGACTGTCAGCAAGACAGAGTCAATTTCTTATAATTTTGATAGTTCCAAAACCTCACAGGATACACCATTTCTTATGTGCGACATAATTAATCCTTTCTCTGCGTAATTTCTTAATATCTTAAGGTGAATAAGGTTATTTTCTCGAACAGCTTATGAAAACCAAAAGATTTAGTAAATGCCACAATGAACACAATTTCTTAAAATTCCAAAGATATTGACAATTGACTTCTATGACAATTCTAAATTAAATTGTTACCATTTTTAATGACTCAATAGTAAAGCCAACCTTACACAAGGGATACAAGCGAACCCAGGATTACATCGTCATAGCAGAATATCATTCATTTGATTATAAAGGAGTTGTTTTGTGAGTATTCAATTCCCAAAAATCAATGAAAATAAGTCAGCGATTGTTTTCGGACTTAAATAGCAACGCGTATTAAAAGAATATTGCCCCTCTAATAGCCGAAACTTGGTAGAATTTTAAAGGCTGTTGCTCACTCATCCATGGAGGCACAGTTATGAATAAGGTATCATTAGACAGAATGCTTCTTACTCTTTAAAATAGGTAATAACTTTAAAATGAGAATCTACCAAAGTTTGATATATATTTGTATAAGCACTGTTTATTAAAGTTCATGAACCGTACTTTACTGTACTCGACTTCTTGATATCAAGATGGCAAGAGGCTTTACATGTACAGTCTTTATTTTCCCCAAATACATTTATCAATCATTCGTTCTATCTACTACTTAAATTTGCACTATTTCCAACATGAACCTATATTATCTTTCCGATTGTTCACCCTGTGCTGGTTCAGCTAGTTGTCTATTACTCAAACTGTTAGTAACTTATCACATATACAATATACACGACCATAAACAATGCAAATTAAAGTAATGGGACCGATATTAAGAAGAACGAAATTGCTATAGATATTGGAAAACTATTGCCCAACACTACAAGTATAATCCAATCACTATTTGAGGTCATTCCTTGCCTTTCACCAAACATATGAATAAAAAGTTGTGCGTGATTTGACCGATTATTAGTTGCGCGTAGTTTGAGAAAACATTACCTGGGCAAAGAATTGTTCACAATATTTCAATAAAAAAAAAATCAACTAATCGGAATTATTCACTAAGTATGTTATTATGGGAGTAGGTACTTAGGTAGGTAAATGTGTTTGAACACGTTGTACTTCCTGATTTAAAACAAATCTTGTACAGATTCATTGTAAGTTTCACAGAGATGATGTATGCCCTCTGATCTCTTAAGTCAAAGTAAGTCGGACTCTTTGGCCCAATTCTCTGGTGAAGTTGAGTTCAGTCTCGTGATCTTTCTTTTTCCTTCTCAGAGAGTTCCTAAAACTACGAGAATGGCAGCAAGTACCGACATTTTGTTTGTACCATGGGCAGGGGCGGCGATTTCTTTTCATGACCGGGGGACGAAATGCTAGGGACGGGGAGCAGTGTAGTAATGAGTAAAAACGTGTTTTGTTTTTTTTTGGGGGGGGGCAGAATAAAAAAGTCCGTATAACCCCCACTTTTACATGGTACATGCAGGCCCCGCGAAACCTTTTTCAGGGGGGGGGGCTAAAAAAAATTTGGTCAGGTAGAGCAAAGCGAGCGAAGTTAATGGAGCGTAAATTTGCTTGAGGTCAAGGAGCAAAGCCCCGGCTGGGGTCATGGGGCGGAGTTTTAGGCATTTAACAACGAATAGGTGAGCATCCGGGGCCCGTATTAGGGCCCCTGTTGGGGTCCAGGGGGTGGAGCACCCGGAAGCTCAGGGTTTTTAGGCATATAATTATGGTCAGATAAGCTCGCCCAGGGCCTCTGGTGGGGTTCAGGAAGCGGAGCCCCCGGAAGCTCAGGGTTTTCAGGCATTTAATTACGGTCATATGAGCAACCAAGGGCACGCCTTAGGGTCCTTGGTGAGGTCCAAGGGGCAGAGCCCCCCCGGAAGTTCAGGAAAAAAATCATTCCATTTCATCAACATTTGTAAATCACTGGTATGGAATTAGAATAAACCACGTTTGAATTTTATTCGGGGGGCAAGCCCCCCCCCCCCCCCCCCCACCCCCATCATTACGCCAGTGTGAGGGAGTATAGTGAACGAGAGGGGTGACGATGACGGAAGTGACTATTCCTTCAAAACTTTGATGTATTAACAAACTACATTCCTTAGCAAAACAGTAGTATAAAAACAAGCACTATATCTTTTTCACACTTTACTTTTCTACAATATTTACTTGTACACTCTGAAGAATATTATGCGAGAGAGCGTAGCTCCCGAGCGAGAAGATTTTTGCATTTTTATTTGTCTAAACGTTGCACTCTTGGGCCTTAAAGTTTGTTTGCAGTCTTTAGTCAGTATTTACTACACACTTATTTTTTGCACTTTTCAAATTTTCAGGGGGGACGACGATACCCCCCTCCCCTAAAAAAATTGAGGGGGGGGGGGGAACGTGTCCCCCATCCCCCCGGGATCGCCGCCCTTGACCATGGGGCATCTAGCCATTTTCTTCAGGCTTACTTCGTTTCAATCGTGTTTTCGAGTTATACATGAACTTCTGTCAAAAATAAGCCCTAATTAATTCCCAAATGGTCGCGTGTAACGTTTGTGATCGCCAATGCTTCATGTCCAGATTCCTCGATATTTCCTGGGGGAAAAAACCGACAGGAAATCTGCGAAAACCCGCGTTTTGACTGGATACCTTTCCTTAAAAAAACTATAAGAGTAACTGTTATCAACTTCGTTAAAAAAAGGACACTTCGTCACTGTCCAAGTTACGGGCATGGTTTCACAAATGTCCATGTAAGAACGTTAGCTTTATCCCGAGGAATTTCTTGGAACAAATTGCGATAGTTTGGATTCAGTTTGACCGACCTTTCGTAAATATAGGGGCAATTTTCAAGACAGTTCGTGTAACCCAACAACCCGACCTGAGGTGCCGACCCGAGAACCGCAGTAAGCCTCCTGTTTACATTACCATTTTTCTTCATCGCTTTTCTCTTTTCTTTTCTTTTTGTTTCATTTGTCCCTTAAAGACAAAAAAAAAAAATTGTTTGTATGTTTCGGTCAACTCCTCTTATCCTCACTTCACCCCTTCTTTTACATTTCTCTGTCCCTATAATGTTAAGTAGGATTAGATATCAAGTCATACACATTTAAGATACAATATTCTAGTAGAAGCACCAACACCCAAATTAACTCAATTCAGCGTGTTTCCATTTACCATTTCACTTTATACCATTTTGTAAAGAATATGAGTGGCTCATAGTACATTGTGTTATTATTTTTACTGTTTGATTAAAATGAAATGAAAACTAACGAAACCTACATATTTCACAGAGATCACCCTTGTATCCATAATAGCAGTTGCACGTAAAGCCGTTAATCAGATCAATGCAAAAGCCATCATTTAGACACGGGTCGGAAATACAAACGTCGATATCTTTTTAAAAGGCAAAGAATAACAAATTTGAGCAAAAAATATTAAGTATATAATTGGTTACAATGTTTAATTACGTATCCATCGATCCAAAAAGTGAAATGTAAGACAAATACAAATTGGGAGAGGGGGTGGGATTGTTTGCAAAGTTCAGGAACATACATATCTCTATTGTTTATTTTGCAGAGTGTGTTCATAGCTTTATCAGAATTTTTAAGCTGTGAAGTATATAATTAGGCTACAGATAGAAATATTTATTCAACTTGAAACGGGATTGGATAACATTACAAATCCATTAATCAAATAAAAAACGAATAAGAATATTTAAAAACAATATATTTTGAACATGATGCTTATGATTACTTATCTTCTTTATGCAAGTTTTTTCAATATTACGTTACAGATTTCTTTGACATTTCTTTTTTTTAGCTCGTTACAATATGTGATGAGAAGGAAATTGCGAAACCTACTTATGTCACAGAAATCACCCGTGAATCCATCCCTGCAAAAGCACGTAAAGCCGTTAACCCGATCGTTGCAAGAGCCACCATTGTGACACGGGTAAGAAAGACACTCGTCGATTTCTTCAAAAAGGCAAACAATCAAAAATTGAGCAAAGACATTAATAATAATAATAATAATAATAATACAGAGTATTTGTACTGCGCCAACTCCACATGAATAATGTGTTCGAGGCGCATGGAGAAGAAAAGATATAAGTACACAAGAAAATACACACAAAAATGAACGACGACAATGTGAAAATAAAACTAAATCTACTGAAAAGCTGCTTTGAACAAATGAGTTTTAAGGGCATGTTTAAAGCAATCTACACTTGAAATATAACGAATATGTTGTGGCAATTGGTTCCATAGGTAAGGTCCAGCGTGTGCAAATGACCGATCCCCCCATGATTTCTTAGTTTTCGGAACAACAAGCAATTGAGAATCGGAAGATCTTAAGCGTCTGGGAGGATTATAAGACATTAACAAATTAATATTGTACTCTGGGGCAGATCCATGTATACAGTGAAAAACAAGCAATAATAATTTAAATACAATACGGGATTCAACAGGTAACCAATGTAGTGAAGACAAAACAGGAGTAATGTGAGAAGTACGTCTGGTAAGGGTAACAATACGGGCTGCTGAATTTTGTAATTTTTGTAACCGTGAGAGTTGAGATTGTGGCAGCTGAAACAAAAGTGCATTACCAAAGTCAAGTCGAGACGATATGAGGGCATGAACTATTTTTTCTGTGGCCGAGCGGGTTAAATACTTGCGAATAATATATGATCGACTACAATATTTAATTTCATCTATAAATACAGAAATCCATATAAATATTTCTTTAACTCGAAACGGACTCGAATTGGGTGACATTATAAATCCATGAATCAAATTAAAAACGAATAAGTAACTTTTAAAACAATACAAATTGAAAATAAAGCTAAAGATCGTTTCTCTCATTCATGAAAGTTGTCAATATTATATTAACGATTTCCATTACTTATTTTGAGCTCAAATTATTTTAAGAATAAAAATGCAAAAACCCTACCTGCTTCACAGAAAGTAGTTGTAAATCCATCCCTGCAAGCGCACGTAAAGCTGTCGATCCTGTCGAAGCAAGTGCCATCATTGTGACACGGGTTAGAAATACACTCGTTGATATCTTCAAAAAAGGCAAACAATCGAAAAAATGAGCAAAGACATTATTAATATATGATCGGCTACAATATTTAATTTAATCTATGAATAGATGAATCTAAAATGTGAATTCAGAAGTATACATATATTTATATCAATAGACAGAGAGGGGGTGGAAGTGTATGTACAATTCAAGAACGTACACATCTTTATTTGTTATTTTGAAGAGTGTATTCAAAGCTCTATCAGAGTTTGTAAGCTGTAAGTAATTAAGCAGCAGATATGAATATTTCTTCAATTTGAAACGGGATTGGATGACATTACTAATCCATGAATCAAATTAAAAACGAATAAGCAACTTTTATAACAATGAAAGTGTAACATGATACTACAGATCAATTCCCTCATTAATAAAAGTTTTACAATATTACATAATAGATTTTCTTGACCTTTTCTTTTTTACTTTTAGCTCGTTACAATATTTGATAAGAAGGAAATTGCGAAACCTACTTGTTTCACAGAAATCACCCGTGAATCCATCCCTGCAAAAGCACGTAAAGTCGTTAACCCGATCGTTGCAAGAGCCATCATTTAGACACGGGTTAGAACTACATTCGTTGATATCTTTAAAAAGGCAAACAATCGAAAACTTATCTTACACGACACTCATCCGATTTCCAGTTAACTTACCTAAAACATATTATGGTCTTTAAATCGATTAAAGACACCATGGTCCAGATATTTGGAATGCTTTACCTGACAATATTAAACACTCTTCATCTCTTTATCCATTCAAAGCCTCCATGAAAAAACATTTAATATCTAAATATTCACAAACATTATAAGGGTCTTGGTGATTTTAATTGTTTGTTTATATAAATCAATTTTAGATGACCAGTTTATGAACAATTCGAATCGAACAATTACTTAACCTGCACACACTCACTTGCCCATATTTGCAATTTGTTTACTTTCTTTACTTTCTTTCCACTATTATTTAGATACTTTCTGAACGAAATCTGTATACGTAACACTCTATTCTCCTATCATACTCCTATCTACAATACTCAGTTTCGTCTATAAATACATAAATCCAAAACGTTACAAAAATATATATCAATAGAGAGAGGGGGGGGGGGGGGAGTGGGAGTGTACGCCGAATTCAGGAACGTACATATCTTTATGTTTTATTCGAAAAGTGTATTCATAGCTTTATTAGAGTTTTAAAGCTGTTTAAGGTAATACAGAGTTTTGGTTTCGGGTCATGAATTTGGTTCAAATAAACATATTGGAAGCATATGCGACCTTACAATATTCAGTGATTGTTGTCGCGGTTGAAATCGAAAATGTAAATAATAAACCCTTTATGTTTTATAGCTCCCTCTCAAGGTCAGAAATTGATTTAGCTATAAAACAATGTTTCTTGACTAAAATCTACCAATTGGCTATTCCCGTTTGGGAATTAGATATCTCAACTGCATATCCTTAGATTTGCATGGTCGCAGCTACCATTGTATGGACGGAGGCGCTATTTAATATGTATCAAAATTTACCGGGAGCACCGTTATTATAATATTTTTTTTCGAAAGCAGAAGTGTTTTAGGGGCTAAATATTTTCATTCTTATAATACATCCACAGGGGCATCCAAATACATCAATCCAGCCAATTTTTTCAAAATTTCCCAAAACTTTGTAATTTGTAAATATTTCTTCAATTTGAAACGGGATTGAATGACATTACAAACCCATGAATCAAATAAAAATGCATAGGCAACTTAAAAAAAAAAATTGCTACTGGTCACTTCCCTCATTAATTTAAAAAAATTATATTACATAATAGATTACTTAACCTCTTTTCTTTAGCTCATTACAATATTTGGTTACAATGAATTGCAAACCTACTTGTTTCACAGTCTGTGCCCGTAAATCCATCGCTGCAAAAGCACGTAAAGCCGTTAACCCGATCGTTGCAAGTGCCATCATTTAGACACGGGTTAGAACTACACTCGTTGATATCTTTAAAAGAGGCAAACAATCGAAATTCAAAGCAAAGATTATGAATATAATTATGATCGGCTACAATATTTAATTTCGTCAATGACATTACACATCCATAAATCAAATTAAAAAATATATAATTATTTTTTTCGAACAATATTTATATAACATAACGCTACAGATCACTTCCCTCATTCATAAAATTCTATCAATATTACATTATAGATTTCCTTGATCTTTGTAAGCCAATTACAATATTTGATTAAAATGAATTGCAAACCTACTTGTTTCACATCGTGTGCCCGTGAATCCATCGCTGCAAGAGCACGTAAAGCCGTTAACCCGATCGTTGCAAGAGCCATCATTTAGACACGGGTTAGAACTACACTCGTTGATATCTTTAAAATAAGCAAACAAACGAATATTTGAGCAAACACATTGAATATATGATCGGCTACAATATATAATTTCATCTATAAATACATCAATCCGAAATGTGAACTCTGAAGTATAACAAAATATGTATATTAATAGAGATAGATAGGGAGGGTGGAAGTATCTGTACAATTTAGGAACGTACATATCTTTATTATTTATTTCGAAGAGTGTATAATAGCTTTATCAGAGTTTTTAAGCTGTTAAGTAATTAAGCTACAGATAGAAATATTTATTTAACTTGAAACGGAATTGAGGAACATAACGAATCCATTAACCGAATGATAAACGAATAAGCAACTTTTAAAACAATACAAATTGAACATGATGCTACAGATCACTTCTCTCATTTATGAAAGTTTTCAATATTACATTATAGATTTCCTTTACTTATTTTTAGCCAATTACAATATTTGATTACAATTAAAATGCAAAACATACTTGTTTCACATATTGTGCCCGTAAATCCAGCAATGCAAATGCACAAATACTCGTTAGCCCCGTCGACGCAAGAGCCTTGTAGACACGGGCTAGAAATACACTCGTTGATATCTTTTAAAAGGAAAACAAACGAAATTTAGAACGAAGACATTCAATATATGATCGGCTACGATATTCAATTTCGTCTATAAATACATCAATCAAAAACATGAACTCTGAAGTATACACAGATATATTTATAGAAAGATAGGGGGAGCGGGAGTGCCAGCAAAATATAAAAACGCGTGCATATCTTTATTCTTTATTTTGAAGATTGTATTCGTAGCTTCCTCACAGTTTTTATGCTGTTAAGTATTTAAGCTGCAGGAAAAAAAATATTCATCAACTTTAAACTGGATTGGATGAAATTACACATCCATGAATCAATTTATAATAAAAAAAAAATTTAAACAATTTTAGAACCATATTAATATAACATAACGCCACAGATCACTTCCCTCATTCGTTAAATTTTGTCAGTATTACATTATAGATTTCCTTGACCTTTGTAAGCCAATTACAATATTTGATTACAATGTAAATGCAAAACTTACTTGTTACACATCTTGTGCTCGTGTATCCAGGGCTGCAAGAGCACGTAAAACCGTTAACCCCGTCGATGCAAGAGGCATCATTTCGACACGGGTTAGAACTACACTCGTTGATATCTTTAAAAAAGACCAAAAAAAATAATATTTGAGCAAACACATTGAATATATGATCGGCTACAATATTTAACTTCATCTATTAAATCATCAATCTAAAACGTGAACTCTGAAGTATAAACAAATATATATATTATTAGAGATAGAGAGGGAGGGTGGGAGTATCTGCACTGTTCAGGAACTACATATTTGTACTCTTTATTTTGAAGAGTGTATTCATAGCTTTATCAGAGTTATTAAGCTGTTAAGTAATTAAGCTACATATATTAATATTCCTTTAACTTGAAACGGGATTGGGTGACATTACAATCCATGAACCAAATTAAAACGAAAAAGCAACTTTTAAAACAATACAAATTGAACATGATGCTACAGATCACTTCTCTCATTTATGAAAGTGTTCAATATTACATTATAGATTTTCTATACTTATTTTTAGCTAACTACAATATTTGATGTAAAAGGCAAAACCTACTTGTTTCACATCGTGTGCCCGTAAATCCAGCAATGCAAGTGCACGTAAAGTCGTTAACCCCGTCGATGCAAGAGGCATCATTTTGACACGGGTCAAAACTACATTCGTTGATATCTTTCAAAAATGCAAACAATCAAATATTTGAGTATAGACTTTAAATATATGATAGGCTACAATATATAATTTTGTCTATATATACATCAATCCAGCAAACTCTGAAGTATAACATAAATATATAGAGAGAGAGAGGAAGTGGGAGTGTACGCCGAATTCAGGATCGTACATTTCTTTATTTTTTATTTTCTAGAGTGTATTCATAGCTTCATCAGAGAGTTTAAGTTGTTAAGTAATTAAGATTGAAACGGGATTGGATGCACACTCGTTGTTATATTACGCACGAATATATATGTATCATCATACAGTTGTTAATTAGTCGTCATAAAAACATAAATTTCTCACAAATGTACACTGTTGGTCATAATGGTGGAATATTTATTTTTACCCCAGTTTAGAAAAGGATTTTTAAAAATTATTTATTTCTAATAGATCTAGATAATGGCATACACTCTCAGGTTTTATTGAATATTAATTTGCGAGTGTTTGTTTTGCGTGACTGCTTAATCATTTGTGTGATACTATGCTAATCAGCTAAGGGACCTACGTCCTTAGGTCATAATTGACAGTAATGAGGATTAATGCCTCACAAAAGGGCACTAATATATAGCTGATCGACACGATTTTTATCCTGGGGCCTCACAGTAATGAGGCCATTGCTTAGCCCCTGAATCATGACCGTACGCAGTGTTTGCTAGGGTACGCGGCCCCTTCCACAAATCCCCCAAAACGAAGAAAATGCAATAAATTGTCAAAAATTCATTGCATTTCCCCTCGGCCCCCAACAGGAAAAATTCCTCTGTGTGGCCATGTTTTGAACCATAATGCATGGCCCTACAGAGGAATTTTTCCTGTCGGGGGCCGGGGGGAAATGCAATGAATTTTTGACAATTTATTGCATTTTCTTCGTTTTGGGGGATTTGTGGAAGGGGCCGCGTACCCTAGCAAACACTGCGTACAATCATGATTCAGGGGCTAAGCAATGGCCTCGTTTCTGTGAGGCCCCAGGATAAAAATCGTGTCGATCAGCTATATATTAGTGCCCTTTTGTGAGGCATTAATCCTCATTACTGTCAATTATGATTTAAGGACGTAAGTTCCCTAGCTTATTAGCATAGTAGCACACATATGATTTAGCAGTCACGCAAAACAAACACTCGCAAATTAATATTCAATAAAATCTGAGAATGTATGCCATTATCTAGATCTATTAGAAATAAATAATTTTTAATAAGGTCCTTCCCTAAACTGGGGTAAAAATAATTATTCCACCTTTATGACCAACAGTGTATATCATATTAAAAACCCGTACATTTTTTCGACATAAATTCACTACAGAGTTTACTATAAATAAGACCATTAACTCTTACTCTATCCTTTATTCCTGTCTATGTCAAATTATTTGTCATAATACTTGTTTCATCCCGTCTATACAGTCAAACCTGTCTACGGCGACCGCCCAAGGGAAACATGAAATGAGGTCTTTGTAGACAAGTGGTCACTAATGCAGGTTTGACTGTTTTTCGTATATTACAATCATCGTTTTCTTTATCACCATCATCACTAACCTTATATTTAACATTATTTTACTTTAGTACTTATCAACAGATTAATGAAAATGCCTACTTTGGGTATTTTGACCTGGCCTAGAGTGGAGATTCAATAAATTGTTATCCTGCCAAGATCACACAAAAAACACATCGCTAACAAGAGGTGCCTCACACCATAAGGTTTTTTTTTTTTAATGTCTGAATTTTAATACGAATTCAGAAATCTATAAATAAATAAATAAAAAGATAACTGAATATTACAAATTTAACAAAAAAATAATAACAGATTATTATAATCTGAAAGGTTATTAATCTTAATTTCTAATGTCTTTACACTAAATCTTCTTTGTAACGCGACACGAAAAATGTTTCGTTACTATAAAATGGAAGTAAGTATATTTTATTGTTTACCTGCAGTATAGGTGATGTGAAAATATCCTCGTGGTGGTGTGATAATGCTATCTGAGATGAAAGTGAGGAAGACTTGGTTGTTCGCCAATGTATAAGTCCTTTCGATCAAGGGCAAGCTCGTGAGGTTCCCGGTAATTGAGATAACGTTTGGGCCCTCGTAAATGACTTCTGGACCCTCGCCGAAGATGAGGAAGTCTTGATCTGGTTCGGTAACAAAGTCCTGCATTATCAGTGTGATTTTCTTCGCAGTCCAGATCTTCAATTGATAGTTGCACTCTAACCTAGCTCCGTAACCCTCAGGGTAAAATGGACTCGTAATATTCCCTGTACTGTCGTAATAGTTCCTACTGCACGAAGTGTTTCCTGGAATACAAAATCAAGACAAAGCGGAAATATACAAATATATATTACAAAGGGAGATTTGTCACTCAGTATATGTTATCAAGATTCGGAAATCTGAATAAAAATGTAGGGTTACGAGAAATAAGAGTTACAGTTATAATGGTTTTGGCATATTATATACAAAGACATTAAATGTTAAAGAATTTCATTTTTGTTTAATCCCTTTAGAGATATATGCCTACTAAGAATTTATACCTAGCTTATCTTATACAGGACATTATTTCACTATTGAGGATAACCTTAATTATATAATATTATTATATTAAAGAGCCTATACTTCTCGTCTCATCATATCACAAAACTTGATTCTCACTTGTCTATTGCACTGTTTCACATGCTTAAGGTGTGTAAGGTGCATAAGGTATTTGTCTCGAATACTCTCTAAAAAAATCGAGTGATCACGAACGTCATTCCTCTGGAGAGTGAAAATGTAGTGAAAATAGAGTGAACATTCACTCTTTTCTTCTTAGAGAGCACTCTAAAATCAATCGAGTGTCACTCGTAAACAAGTGATCACGGACGTCACTCCCAAGAAAGTGAAAATAGAGTGAAAATTCACTCTTTTTTTAAAGAGAGTACCACATGAAAACTTGGAGGTTAACTAACAAAGATATTGACAGTAGACTTTCATGAAAAAGAGAGGTCGGTACTAGGTAACATATCCCTAGTAAACAAAGAGAACATAAAGATTATTATTGATTATTTTTATTTTTATTAGTAGTAGTAGAAGTAATAGTAGTGTTAATATTAACAGTTTGAATAACATACGCATATCAATATGCTTGTCAATAAGAAGCCAGTATGATTTCTCCAGGGTGTGGATTATATGCTGTTGCCAATTCCCAGGTAAAAATAAAACAGTTAGGGACCAGTTGGAATCAACTGGTACTGGTACCAGTTGATCCCAGTTATTAAAGTGAACTGGTTTCAACATGGAAATTGGTATGGTGGAATCAACTGGAATCAACTGGTACTGGTACCAATTAGGACCAGGTGAAACCACAATTTGGGAACTGGTACCAGTTGATTCCAGTTAAGTGAACTGGTTTCAAAATATACATTGGTATAGTGGAATTAACTGTTTCTAGTACCAGTTGAAATCAACTGAAATCAATTGGTACTGGTACCAGTTGGAAAACCAGTTGATTATTCAGTAGCGACCATCAATCAACTGATAATAAACAATCAATATTGTATGGCATCTGGCCACCAATTAAACCATATTTTTATAGACTCTAGCAATTGCCCCATCACAAAGATCATTTGAAGTGAATTGCAGTTGAGTCTAATGTTAATTACAGAATTTAGAGATTGTATATACATAAATACAAAATTATACATGTTTTTGCTGGGTATTAATTACGTATATCTTTATATCTATTAGTATGTCTTAAATTAGATGTAAAACATGATCAGAAATATATAATATATATTTGTCAATAATTCGTCCTTGTTTTCACGAAGTGACGGTAGTGAGGAAAATCGTCACGCAAAGTGAATGCATTTTTTTTCACTACCGTCACCTCGTGAAAACAGCGACGAATTGATTAAGAAAATATAAATCACACAATTGATGTGCATTGTCACATTTGCTAGACAGATCATGATAATTATATTTTCTGTGAAAATATGCAAATTAAGCATGAATAGGCACAAGATATAATTAACTGGTTTTTAACTGGTATTCAACTGGTTTCAACTGGTAAATCAACTGGCAATCATCTATTGGTTTCAACTGGTAATTCAACTGGTAATCATCTATTGGTTTTCAACTGGTTATTCAACTGGTAATCACCTATTGGTTTTCAACTGGTTATTCAAGTGGCAATCATCTATTGGTTTCAACTGGTAAATCAACTGGTAATCATCTACTGGTTTTCAACTGGCAAATCATCAAGCAATCATCTACTGGTTTCAACCGGTAATTCAACTGGTAATCATCTACTGGTTTTCAACTGGTAAATCAACTGGTAATCATCTACTGGTTTCAACTGGTAATTCAACTGGTAATCATCTATTGGTTTTCAACTGGTAATCATCTACTGGTTTTTAACTGGTATCTATACTGGAAACAACTGGTGTCAAATGGTCCACTCTGGTTTGATGGGTTTTAAACTTGAATCAACTGGCAGATGTACCAGTAAGGCATATTGTTTTTAACTAATTTCAGCTGGTGTAACAATTTAATACCAGTATGGTTGATTGGTGTCAACTGGAATCCACTGTTTGTTTTCAACATGCCAGTAGAGTGAATGGGTCTAAACTGGGATATACTGGTGCATGTGAAGTTTACCAGTTGTATCAACTGGTTTCAACTGGTACCAGTTAAATCAAGTTGAAACCAGTAAAATAAACTGGCACATATCCCAGTTCCGTCAACTAGAATCAACTGGTACCAGTTGATTCCAGTCGATACCAGTTGAAAATGATTGCGGGTTATCATGATCCAAGATCCTTAGGTACATCACATTCCCTCGAGAAAAAAACAATCGGATTTCTTACCATTATTCTGTAATTCACAGTTCTGACCAGTGTAGGATTCAGGACAATAGCAGAAATAACCATAATCATCTTGGACACACGATGCTGACTGTTCACAAGGATTGGAAGAGCAGTCTGCAAATAACAAATTAGGATAACTTTACCTGTATAGCATGCAGATACATCACTGTAGATTACAGAATCCGTGGTTAACCATGCGTCTGTATACATCGAAGTAATATAGTGGACTTTGCTTGAGCATTAGCCTGTATTAATGGTAAGTTAAATATCGATTTACCGCTACAACCCAAAAGAACTTTAAAAAACCTGTTGCTGATATTTGCCTAGTCCAGAATCTGGCCGATTTAATTTTGATCTCAACCACACCTACGCTACCTCTCCCAGTGGCGGATCTAGGGGGGGGGGGGGGGGGGGGGTCGCAATTTTTTTAATTTTCGAGGACCAAACGAAAAAAAATTGCTCACTACCCCACCCCCCCCCCCCCTCCCCCTCTTCCCCACTGAGCGACTTTTCGGCCGGCGCGGTTTTCACATTTTCGGGAGTTAAAAAAAAATGTTGGGCCCCCTCCCCTTAGAAATCCTGGATCCGCGCCTGACCTCTCCCTTCTTGCTTACTACCAGCCGATGATGGCGTGATCATTAATTAGGACGCCCGGCGAAAAAGGCTGGGCTGGTGAGCATAATTATGAGTTTGTTGATAACGCCATCTTCGACGGCTAGCTTGAATAAAGTGTGTAGGGAATTATAAAGGACCGTGCAGATTCTTGACTAATATTTGCCTTACCTGGCCGCCAGAGGGGGAAGGGGGGCAATATGAAGCTAAGCCCGTAGCTAGTTAACGAATTATACACAGGTATGAGTGCGTTATGGCGATGCAGCGTATTGGTGTAATCACAACATTCAATTGTGCCATTGTGAAATTCCGAATAGCGCCTCATCGCCATATTAGGGACTTTTAGATTTGCGTGGATTGCTACGTGTGGGAACTGATGACAGTGCCCTAAAAATGACGTCACTCGTAGCAGTCCACTTTGTCGACGTGCGAGTCTCGAGCTCTCTATTGTCACCAATGCATACCTGTGTATTATGTGTTTTATAAAATAGATCATTGTACATTTCTTTGCACGGTTGCCATCACAAAAATGCACTCCCCATGCATATAGTAGCAACTAATGCACGCACACGTGATCCATTTCGACGCTTCTATTGGGCTACATTCTTAAACCCATTTCTGAACGGACCAGAAACGGACAAAGTGGCACCTGGATGGTTACGTATGAAGGATTTCGGGGAAAAAATAGTCAAGTGACCTAGATTGGATATCAGAAATTCCGCCTACTAAATTTGAAAGGAATCGGGCAAGAGGAAAGGACCTAGATAGGAACAACAAGCACTACGTGCAAAACGAATGAGATTTCTGGCATAAGATCAAGAAGACGACAAAGAATAAGTTTGCAGAACGCGAACGGAAACAAATCGTAGTAGAATGTGGTGCATGCATTGTTCTACAATTCTCGGCATGTCCAAAATTCGACTGTTGATAAACGGGCGTCTTTCTGGCATATTGGCATAGCTCCTATAGTGTAAAACGGACTTCAGGGGGCAGTGCCAGTATAGAAGGACAAAAGATCGAAAATCAAACAAAAAATCTGAGATTTACGATCATGTAAGCAGACGACACTGGCATCTTCCTCATGGTAGCAGTTGTGGCTTTCGAAGCCGTTATGCGGACAGTCGAAAATATGTGTCTCATTGCCCCTGCAATCGACGTCATCCATCCAAATAGGACCACTGCCCTGGCCGAAGCGAGCGGAATGCGGGGCACTGAGGGAATCCTGATAGCCTAGACTTCTACAGACCACACGTGCGTCATAAATGCTCCAAGAGTCATCACAGACGGTCCCTCAAGATCCGTTGTAGAATACCTCTACCCTTCCATCGTGTGCTCCGGTACCATTCACGAGACGAACTGTAAATGAAAATAAAATCAGGGAATTTATTTCAACGCATAGGCGATGGGATTTTACAAAAAGACGGGGGCGGGGACAGTATTCCAAAAATATATATTATTACCATAAAAAGTAGAAGAATACGGAGAAGAAGACGACGTTCATCGATAGATAATTTGGTGCAATTCTAGTGTCATATTCTCTTTGGGCAAATACGATCCTAATTTAAAGTCGTATTCGCATTCAGAAGCCACTTTCGACATTACCACCTGACTACGTCAAAGGGCAATTCCCTGATATGCCTCCCGCACAACATAACTTTCATATCAATTTATCTCATCCGAAAATCTCTTTTGTACGGATTGAATAATGGTCCCCCTGGTATCACAAGTATTAGTCATTGTCAAGTTTAGAGATTAATTATTTATGGATGACAATTGGAGGGGAAATATGGTTGTGTTGCTCGGAACACTTGAATTTCATATGAATAAGATAAATAACATGACGCCACAACCTAGACAATTCTAAAAAAAAAGAATGTCATGGTCCGAGTCATTTTACAGAGACTTACCAGAACTAGGTGCATCAGTTGGAATCGGGCTAGTTGTGGAATCTTTAATATAAGTGAGAGAAAAAAGGATAGGCCTACATCAAAAATGGTGATGGATAAGTCAAAAAAAGGGAGGCGAAGTGAGAATAGAAACTAAGGTCGGTTAATTTTAACTCCTGCAAAGTTCTACCATTCTCTGTTCAACGAAGGTCGGTTTTCTTAATCTCATTGGACTTTAGTGGAGCAAATGATACGGTCGTTCATGTTAATGACAAATACCGTATTTGGATTCATTCGAAAGGCCACTTCATCGTGGTCAGTTTGACGCCATTTGGACTAGCGTGAAATGTACTGCAAATAATGAACGGGCTGTTACGTAATGCATAGTAAATTCATTTTGGGGGGCAATAACTTAACGGTAACGTCATCTAATTTTGACAAGCTTGGCAGACCTGTTGTCACGTGTATGGATACATTTTACCAAATCAGAATTCCTCAATGAAATAATACCTTGTTCAAAAATAAACTTAACATCTATTATAAGTAGTATTACAAAACAATATTGCTATGATACATTTCACAAATATGAAGGAAATATGGAAAAGACCTGGAATGAAGTTATTAATATATTTGGTTATAAGAAGCAAAATGTTAATCAATGTGAAATGTTCTCTGGGTAATTTTTTCTTTTCTTTCGCGTGAACAGATTGTTGAGGATTTTCATTCATATTTGCCAGTATAGCACCCCATTCACAGTGGCCTCAAACACCGCGACAGCAGCGGGACTGTCCCGCTGCTGTCGCGGTGTTGTCTTCAGTGTGAAGGCTCGGACCCGTTATAAACTATCGCGGGATAACACCGCCTCGCGATAACGCCGCGACAAACTATCGCTAGGCTCGCCTAGCTACAGCAGCGGGACAGTCCCGCTGCTGTCGCGGTGTTTACTCAGTGTGAAGGCTCTCCGCTATAACACCGCGACAAACACGTGTGATTTGTTTACTTACCTATCACTGACCTCTTTTCTCCAGCAATGGGGAACATAAAGTGAAATAGAAATAAAGTAACCAGTGGATTCAAATTGATTTTATTATTATGTAGATATTATAATTATCCAAATAAAAATATTTCACACTTCAAAAAATTAAAATATTCTGACTGGAAGCAATAAAAATGCTAGTTTTTTAAAAAGTAATATGATCGAGGATACAAAAAGCAACTTGACATGTTTACGCGCTGAAGTATTTCCGGTCATATCGGGGTCACTCGCGGGTCATGAGCCATGCATACACGTATTTGTTACGGAGGTAATAAAAATCACCCGCTGCAGCGTGAATGGGTACATGATATTTATCCCGCTGCTGCAGCGGGATAACTTTTCTACTGTGAATGCATTTGTAGCGGTGTTATGGCGGTGTTGCCGCTCCGCTACAACGCCGCTACAAATTTCAAAACCACTGTGAATGGGGTATAGGTAAAAGAAAATAATCAATTTTCTATTCCATGTGTACATAAGAATTATTAAAAATGTCTCATTTCACAACATATTGCCTCCATGCTTTTAAAGCCTACTTTCGTTTATGAATTAACGAAGATGTATCCTTCGTTTAATCCGTCTAAAGCAAGTGGCTGTGATGACATATCCCCTCGGATAGTGAAAGAAGCAATCTTTTGTTGTGTGGAACCATTGTGTGACATATTCAATAATTCAATAAAGGGATAGTTGAGTTCTGTTTTCAGACCGCATATGCCTTCAAAGTGCATGGTTATTGCTCTTATTCTTATGTATGACATTTATAATGCCCTTTTGGAACCTAAAATTGCTTTGTTGGTAATTTTAGACCCTTAACTGTGTGAATTTAGCCAATACGATCATACCAATTCAGCTATTGACCTGCTGCAATTTTACCTATATTTTCTGAATTGTTGGAAAGAATAATGTTTAATTGATTGTATAGTCAAATATGAGATATTAACCAATGACAAATTTGGATTTAGGAAAGGTCATTCGACCGCTCATGGTGTCTTGAATATGTCAGATTATGTTATAAATACATAAGATAATGGTATTTTTTTGTTAACGGTTATTTATGGATCTTTAAAAAGCATTTGACACCATCGTCCACGGCATTCTTTTTGATAAATTGTTTTATTATGGCGTAAGTGGAGTAGCCTTAAACTGGTTCAGATCATATTTGATGGGTAAAAAGCAATATGTGGTGGTCGAAGGTGTCGAGGCCAACTTCAAAGAACTATCATCTTGATGTGAGGAACCGCAAGGGTCTATTCTGGGACCTCTCCTGATCTTGTTGTATGTTAATGATGTTGCTAACAGTTTTTTTTAGTATCTTTCGGTTTTCATTATTCGCCGACGACACCCTGGTTGTCATATCCCATAGAAATGCACAAAGACTGATTTCGCTGGTCAATGGAGAATTAAGTAAATTGCTTTTATGTTTTCAGAATAGTAATTTATTTCTCAATCATGAAAAAACAAACTACATGATATTTCGTTCGAAGAACAGGAGAGTTCACAGAGACATTAATTACATTGACAGTCCTTCAACGTGTACATTCACTTTACTTTCTTGGTGTTACTGTAGACAAATTCCTGGACTAGAAGAGCGACATTAAAAATGTAACTTTGAAAGTATCTAGAAGCATTGGGGTATTATCAAAATAAAATTTACCGTTCCGCAGGATGTGCTAATAGGGCGCTTTCGCAAACACGACGGAAGGCAAAGACGACCGATGTTGACGCGATCGAAAAAAAAACAATCCGCGCTTGCGCGAACCAGAGTTGTCTTCGTCTTGTTGATTTCCACGACCGTACGCGGCCATGATAGCGGTCGTTTCCCCAAACATGACGTAAGAGCTGTATCGCCGTAATTCTCCCGTCGTCTTTGCTTCCGTCGTCTTTGCGAAAGCGCTCTAGTGTTATTATATACAACTCAATAGTATAACCCCACGGTATGTCAAAAGTTTTTTAAATATCACAATTAGCTGATGACGCTGTCCTTTTTCTTAATTCCATTGAATCTGCTTACACTTCACCTGAAGAAGTCAGAAGGTTTGGACATTTTGCTGGGCCAAGCTTAAATGTCATGAAAACTGGTACTGGTACTCGTACTGGTCGTAATTACGTAGCGTTGCCCTGATGTCGGCAAGGGTATGGTTGTCGCGATGGTTGCCCCTAAGCCACGACTTGGTGACGATAAGTACGTGAAGGCCAGTGTCAAAGATAAGGTCATAAATGATATTGGTCTATTATTCATAGATCTGGAATTCCAATGACCTATTCGAACTCTTCTCTCAGGAAGACATTTAGTGACAGAAGGAGGAGTTCCAGTGGGTTGTATGAGTTCACCAGTATCCCGCATTGATATTCCACTAGAAATATTGGTACATAGCTAGTCTAAATGAGTACATAAATGTTGAATCTACGCCTCATTACCCCTCCTCGGCAGCCACGCTTAGTTCTCCGAGCGATTCCCAACTCTTTGAATAAACTCCATTTATGTGCACTAAGAAGCTTAGGCTGCATTTCATTGTCAAGGTTCTGCCCTACACACAAGAGCTCCTCACGGTAGCAAGTGCAGCGAACTATGTTAAAGGGCCACTCTAACCCAGCAAACGTAGCCTTTCAAAACATGTATACACCTCTACTTATTAATATTCCAGCCTCAGATTTTTCAGAAAATCTCTGAATTGACCCCAAATATTTTCATAACCATTCATTTTTCACAGTTCTCACGCTTGCTGGGCTACGCCCCTCGCAAAAAGGTTATACGATCACGTAGCTTGATGATGCATTTGACGTCACTGTAGGCATGTTCGATTTGATAATTTCATAATTTCATAATTAAGAATGACGAAATTGCCAGAAACGTACTGGGATTATCAATTGCATATTATTTTTCGGATAAAAGTCTTTTTTTTTGCTCAGTCGTCATTTTTAAAGCTAGATTCCAGAATTATTGAAGTTTTTTAGGAAAAATCATTGTCATGTTCGGAATCTCCGTCAAAAATTATTGTTCATGTCTTGTTTTCATTTTTAGCCCGTTTTTGGTTAGAGTGGCCCTTTAAGAGACAGCGTAGACGGATGGGCTACCACAGTAAGACTGTTATGCATAGGTACGTACAAACAGCAAACAATATGTTCACAATTTGATGTGAAAATATCGAAATGTGAAAATGCATGATTGCAAACACGAGTGATCACAAAAAGTACGTCAAAATTGTCACCGAACATCAAGAATACATGTCACTAAGATCAACAAGT